CAATGCTGACCTAACTGCCAACCTGAAAGTGTTTTAGATTGGTCAAAATTTGCCGAGCTCATTTTTATGTTTTATAGTCAGACCTTTGTATCATATAATTTTTGCTAACCTGATGCCGACCTCTAAAAGATTGAGATCGACAAATCATTGCCGACCTCATTTTTCCTAATTCCGAGGGTTGTATATATATATGTATATATATATATATATATATATACATATATATATATATATATATATATATATATATATATATATATATATATATATATATATATATAAATACATATATACATATATAACTATATATAATTTATATATATATAGTATATATATAAATATATATAATAATTTAATATATATATAATATATATATATATAAAGTATTTTATATATAATATATATATATATATATAAAGTATTTTATATATAATATATATATATATATATATATATATATATATATATATATATATATATATATATATATATATAATATAAATATAGTATATATATAATATATACATAGTATATATATATATATATATATATATATATATATATATATATATATATATATATATATATATACTATATTATATATAGTATATTATATATATATATATATATATATATATATATATATATATATATATATATATATATATATATATACTCTATATAGTATATATATATATAATATATAATATATATATATATATATGTTATATTTTAAATATAATATATATATTATATATAGTATAAATATAATATATATATATACATATATATATATATATATATATATATATATATATATATATATATATATATATATATATATATATATATATATATATATATATATATATATATAGTATGTATATACTATATATATATATATATATATATATATATATATATATATATATATATATATATATATATATATATATATATATATATATATATATATATATATATATATATATGTATATATATATATATATAGTATAATTTATATATAAATTATATATATATATATATAATTTATATATATATAGTATATATATAAATATATATAATAATTTAATATATATATAATATATATATATATAAAGTATTTTATATATAATATATATATATATATATATATATATATATATATATATATATACATATATATATATATATATATATATATATAATATAAATATAGTATATATATAATATATACATAGTATATATATATATATATATATATATACTATATTATATATATATATATATATATATATATATATATATATATATATATATATATATACTCTATATAGTATATATATATATAATATATAATATATATATATATATATATGTTATATTTTAAATGTAATATATATATTATATATAGTATAAATATATAATATATATATACATACATATATATATATATATATATATATATATATATATATATATATATATATATATATATATGTATATATATATAGTATGTATATACTATATATATATATATATATATATATATATATATATATATATATATATATATATATATATATATATATATATATGTATATATATATATATATATATATATATATATATATATATATATATATATATATATATATATATATATATATATATGATGATGATGATATATATATGATGATGATGGTTATCTTCCTTTAATTTGTAAAGACTCTAATAGTTACATTGTTGGCCTGGGCATTTAAATTCGTAAGGATTCACCCATTTGTCAGGAAACTAGGTTTGAATTCACAGACTACTCTTTTATGTCCTTTCGTTTAGCATCATTTCACTTTATCGCCTTTCTCTTTGTTCTATATCGCTCTCCTTCATCTCAAGACTGCACCTTTTTTGATGTTATTTCTGATCATATTGACTTTTCCATCTCTCTTTATCCATCAGCGAATATTGTTGTTGTCGATGACTTTAATGCTCATCACACTGAATGGCTTGGCTCTAGTTTTCAGTGACTTTGGAGGCATTAAAGCCCACAACTTTTGCCTTTCTCAATCCCTAACTCAATAGTCTTTCTCAATCCCTAACTCAAATAGTCAACATTTCAACTTGCTTTCCAGACAACCCAAACCACTTACCTTCTCTACTCGACTTGTTTCTGATCCTAGTCAGCCTTGTTTCTGATCCTAGTCAGTGCTCAGTTTCTCCAAATTCACCCTTAGGTGCTTTTGATCACGGTTTGATCTCTTTAAAACTATTATCTCATTCTTCTTCATCATCTAAATACCCCTATCATCGTACAACTACCTTAAAGCTGACTGGGACTTTTTCCATGATTTTCTTCTCGCTGATTTACTAACAGTAACAACCGATAGGTTTTATTGTGCATTAGATAAAGGTGGAGAGATTAAGGCCATCGCTCTTGACATTTCTAAAGCTTTTGATAAAGTTCGGCATGCTGGTCTTCTCCATAAGCTTTCTTCTTATGGTGCATCTAGTAACATCTTTAGGATTATTGAATCCTTCCTTTCCAATCAAAGTTTAAAGTTGTCCTTGATGGACAGCACTCTTCTTCATATCCTGTAACTTCAGGGGTTCCTCAAGGTTCAATCCTTGGCCCTATTCTTTTTTTAATTTACATTAACAATTTTCCAGATATTCTCACATTTAAGGTGGCATTGTTCGCTGATGATGCTACCTTTATTCTTGTAATGATAAGAAGCCAACACTATTTGATTGCTTGGAGGGAGCATTTGAGCTTGAAAAGAATCTCACTTCTACTACAGCATGGGGATCACAGTGGCTGGTGAACTTTAATTCAGATAAACCCAATTTTTTTCAGCCAACCATTATCGCAATAACTCAGACCTTCCTATATTTATGAACAGTCATGTACTCGATGAGTCATCTACCTTTCATCTTCTAGGATAAACTCTTACTTTCGATCTTTCTTGGAAACCATATATTAAATCAATTACAAAAGTAGCATCTGCTAAGGTTGCATCTCTTTATCAAGCTCAACACTTTCTTACTCCGGATTCTATTCTCTATCTCTATAAATCTCATATCCGCCCTTGTATAGAATACTGTTGCCATGCCTGAAACGGATCTTTTAATGATGCCTTTCTTCTTTTAGACAAGGTACAAAATTGCATTGTAAACATAGTTGGACCTGCTCTTGCAGCAAACCTTCAACCATTATCACATTGTCGTAATGTTGCTTCTCTTTCTTTTTTCTACAAATACTATAATGGGTACTGCTCTAAAAAGCTAGCATCTCTTGTGCCATCAACTAAAATTCATTATCGTGTTACTCGTCATTCAATTAAGTCTCATCCTTTTTCTGTGACTGTTCCTAAGTGCTCCAAAAACTCTTATTCAACTAGTTTTTTTCCTCGAACATCAGTTCTTTTGAATTTGCATCCTTCATCTTGCCTTCCTGAGTCATATAATTTGCAATCTTTTAAGTCCTCTGTCAATCCTTATTTTGCTCTACAATCTGTATCTTTTCTCTTCCAGTAAATTTCAACTCTAATTAGTGGTTGCTTGCAGCCTTGTTGGAAGCGAAGATGTTTAAAAAAAACAACTTAAAGATGCTAACGTTTCTTCTCGGTCTACAAGGAGAATACACAAAGTACTCATGTTTTCTTAGTTTATGGGATAGCAGAGCGGACCAGCACTTTATGATATGTGAGGCATTAAACTAGGTCTTGTCAAACATTTTGTCAAAGCATTAAACCCAGCGTTCCAGTATATTCGGCAAATATTTCCAAAGGTGTCAGATGCAAAAATTTCAGAAGGTGCATTCGTTGGTCCGCATATTAAAGTTATCTTGACATGTTAGGAGCTGGAGGACAAAATGTCTGCTGTTGAAAAAGAAGCATGGATTGCATTTAGACATATTGTTCAAAGTTTTTTAGGCAACAATGAGTGATAACTACAAAGAACCAGTGGAAAACTTAATTGTACAATACATTAAGTAATTGTATGTATATATATGTATATATATATATATATATATATATATATATATATATATATATATATATATATATATATATATACATAAACAACTTTAAAATGTATTCTACAAAATTCTTTATAATTGCTCAATGCTCTTAAAAGAACAGAGCAATTATAAAGAATGTTATAAAAGAACAGCAATTATATTAAAAAAAAAAAAATTTAATACTTTTTATACTAATTTTATCATATTTATATTTTAACTTTTATTTTATTTCTATTTTTATTTATACATAGTTAAATTTATTATTTTATTATAAAAATATATATTTTTATATTAATTTTTGTTATTTTTATTTATTTTATATTATATTTCATTTTTAACTTTGTCTATTTACAAAAACGATTAATTATACTAATATAACCAAATTTAAACCTTGCCGTAACCCTATCTCTAAGCCTGACCTTGATGCCTGGTCTAACCAAACACTCAGTCGATGTAGCAGCACTCCCTTGCGAGTCAGGCTATTTGATAGTCGATGTATGTACTTTTCATTTTCTATAAAAGTTTCTTATGGGTTCATTTTTTTACAAAATAAAATAATGCTTACGGGGACAAAAAATAAATGGGTTTACTAAAATGTCCCCGATAATGCTAATGTCCCCATGATTGTTCATTTTTTTGTAAAACCTGTCCCCATAAGTAAAGAATATACAAATATATACATATATATATATATACATATATATATATATATATATATATATATATATATATATATACATATATATATATATATATATATATATATATATATATATATATATATATATATATATATATATATATATATATATATATATATATATATATATATATATATATATAATTTAGACACATACTTACAAACATGAAAATATAACATAAAACATAAACAATGAAAACATAAAAAATGAAAAACAAATTATTCAAAAAAGAACTAGATGTAAGACATACCAAATGAGGTAATGAAAGCCTGTCAAAGATAAACTTTCTTAAAGATGGGAATATTACAAGCTTATGGCCAGCAGCCTCAGCGTGTGATGTAACATATGATTCCAGTTTTGAATAAACTTTTTTCTAAATAAATTTTAAACATATTTTGTAAAACCAGATAAAATTGGTTATTATATATATATGTATATATATATATATATATATATATATACATATATATATATATATATATATATATATATATATATATATATATATATATATATATATATATATATATATATATATATACCCATATAGTGTAGTCAAAAGAGCGTTTTAATGTAAAAAAAGTCTCTTACGACTACAATTTTAATTACCTCGTCTCTTAAGCTGTTTTTGATTGTCATCGAAATGTCAAAGCAATTAATTTATGCGGAAGTACATTAAATTTAACTGTTTTTTAAAAAACCACAATTATAACGACTAGAAAGTTTTTTTTAATTAGTGGTGTTTTTGTTATTGATTTAATAAAAAACATTTTTAAAACATGCGTAAATGTTGCTACATCGACTATCTTATAGCCTGACTTGCAACGGAGTGCTGCTACATCGACTGACAAATAGCCTGACTCGCAACGGAGTGCTGCTACATCGACTGACAAATAGCCTGACTCGCAAGGGAATGCTGCTACATCGACTGACAAATAGCCTGACTCGCAAGGGAGTGCTGCTACAATGACTGACAAATAGCCTGACTCGCAAAAGAGTGCTGCTACATCGACTGAGGGTTTGGTTTGGCCAGGCAGTCTATCAATTAAAAAAAAAAATTTAATTTTTAAAAGTTTTTCTGGTCTGGTTTATTAACGCGCTCTTTAAAACTACAGTTTATGGGAAACTTTTTTTGATGCCATGCAAGAGACATGCAAGAGTATATATATATATATTATATATATATATATATATATATATATATATATATATATATATATATATATATATATATATATACTCTTGCATATATATATATATATATATATATATATATATATATATATATACTCTTGCATATATATATATATATATATATATATATATATATATATATATATATATATATATATATATATATATATATATATATATATATATATATATATATATATATATATATATATATGTATGTATATATATATATATATATATATATATATATATATATATATATATATATATATATATCTTTTTCTGAAAAAGCTGTATGCTACAAAGATAAGCAAAACTAATAAGCATTTGCTAACCTATATACACTATAGTGGATATATATATGTGTGTGTGTGTTTGTGTGTGTGTGTGCGTGTGTGTGTGTGTATAGTGGTACATATTTATATATACACATATATGTTCTTTCAATGCAAACACACATTGATCCAATGTATATAATCTAACATTAATCCTTACAAATCAAATCAAACCAAATATATTTCTGAAGAAAAATTCTCACATCAAGGATATTTGCAAATAGAAATGAGTACTAATATGAATTAAACACCTATAAAATTCAATAATAATAAAAATAGTAATAATAACAACAATAAATATAATACAGATAGTAATTATAAAAAATTATATTATAATAATATAACAATAATAATATAACAACAACAATAATGACAGTAATAAAAGTAATAATAATTATAACAACAATACACTAATTATAACTATAATAATTACTACAATAATAATAACAATATTAACATTAGTAATTATAGTTAAAAGTAATTAATAATAGTAATGTAAATATTTATTAAAATAACAATAAGCAATAGTTATGACAACAAAAACTATTATAAAATCAGAAATATCAAACGTGTTTTATTAATAGCAGTAATAATAAACAATACTAAAAACAACAAAAATCGATTATAGAAATTAAAAATATTAACTGTATTTTTTTAATAAAAAGTAAAATAACTGGTTTTAAAGGTTGATAATGAATTGAGAGCTTTTAGTTTTAATGCTTTGATATTTTATTGATTTATGTCCGTAATTATGAGAGCGGTGTTTAGAGACAAACAGGTTTAAATTACTATTGGAACAAAGGTGTTAAGGAGTGTTGGCACTTTTGTAAAGAAATTGATGAAAGTTAAAGGTTATTGTGTTGGTGGTTCCAGACAAATTGACAGTTTAAAAGTTGAATATAATCACATAGTTTTAATACTTTAGAAAATAGATAGAGCACATTTGGATTAAAATTAATATCCTGGAAATAAATAATTTTTAAAGCATTGTTTTGGAGCTGGGATAACCTAAAAAGATAATGAGATAACCCTCTTACTTGGCATGCATATCTTAAATGTGAGAAAAAAATAGGTATGTGTATGTGTTATGGTATATGTTCAAGAGTGTTTCAAGATTGACATAATGGCGAATTTCGACCATTATGTCAATAACCCTGAGGAACATCATTAGAACATATTACAAGAGTAGATTTTGTGTCATTGATAGAAACAAATTGTGTTTTTTCGTTTAACTATGTAGTAAATTATTTAAGGTGTATGCCTCTGATCCCATAATATTTTTTTCAACAAAATTGAATGATCTACTGTATAAAACGCTTTTTTTAAATTGACGAATACACCACAAGCAAAATATTTACCATCAACAGCTTTTCAAATTGATTCACTCATTTCAATGAGAGCCTGAGTTGTCGAGTGATTAGCATGAAATCCATACTGATGGGTGTAAAGGCATTTAAATTTTTCAGGAAAAGCAGAGCCTATTATGCATCATTATCTCAACGAATTAACTTATATTAGAAAGCAGGGAGATGCGCCGGTAATTGGTGAAAACTAGTAGAGAACCTTTTTTAAATATTGGAATGACTTTGGCAACTTTTAAAATATCTTGGAAAATATCACTTTTAAATGATTTATTTATAACAATATAAAGAGGGTTTGAAATAATATGGGACAAGTTTAAGGAGGAATATAGGTATGTTATTAGGACTTTTTTCAGTTTTAAGTGTGTTTGTAATGAGACCAGATATTTCATTTTCAGTAACAGGACTAATAAAAAACAATATAGCATTTGGAATGTTAAGAAAGTCACCATATATGCATTTAGGGGGTATGGGTTAGCTAAGCAGTTAGTTATGTATAGTGCTAAAAAAATTATTAAATATATTAGATACAGCAGTGTGATCAGTGATAAGATTTTTGTTCAATTTAAGTTTAAAAAATGAATTGTGTGTAGAAGATCTAATATTAATGATTTCTTTTATGTATAATAAATATATAATAAAGTATGTTTTTTTGCTAAATTTTAATAAATTACAAATTTTGTTTTTATAAAATTTAAATTTTGCAAATAAATTCATTTTTATTATAAATATTTTTTGATTTTATAAACTTTTTATAAAGATTGTTTTTACCTGAAATAGATTTAAGTATTCCATAAGTAATCCAAGGTTTTGATTTTAGTTTAATTTGCTGGTTGGTTAGTATTTTGTAAGGAGCATGTTGGTCTAAGATTTTATCAAATGTTTTTAAAATGAAATTTATAGATTTATTAACATCATCATCTTTTTTAATGGAGAGTTCCTAGCTGATATCAGAAATTGAGGTTAATAAAATATACCATTAAAAATGGGGTTATACACATTTGGTCAACATTAATCAATATATATTGAATCAATGTTTCTCCCTATACATTGGATCAATGTTGGGTTAAGATTGGAAAAACAACCAACTTTTGTTATGTTTTTCCATACATTGGACCAATATAATCTTACTGACTATTTTTAATTATGTTGTTATCATGGTTTTTATTAATATAAATACAATAAACTAACATTGGATCAACATTGTATTTGCATCAGAGAAAACAACCAATGTTAGCGATATATTTTTATACGTTAGCCCAACTTAAGTGTTGTGGTTGGGTTATTTGTATAACTTATAAGAATTATTTTTCATGCGAATATTACAGTTAATTATGGAAATATATTTTACTAAAATATTTTTCTCTTTTTTATATAACAAATATCAAGCCACAAGCAAAATAAACATGAATAATGCGCTTTTAATCAAATGCAGACAGATATGTACTAAAATATAAAATAAATAAATTTAATTTGAAAAATGTTAAATATAACATTGTGCAAACATAAAATATAACCTTAAATCAACAACTTCAAATACAACATTTTGCAAAGGTAAAATACAAAGTTGTGCCATCATAGAATACAACGCTGAATCAACATAAAATATTATGCAATGCTGACTTAAAATACAATGTTGTGCCAACGTTATTTTTTGGTTGTTAGCAACATCGCATTTGTAACCAAATCTTCCAGCAGAAGATTGGGAGGATGATCTTTGATGAACAGGGAGGATCTTTGGATTTCTGACAAGTAGCACTGTCTTGAATATTTTTTTGAATATTTGAGAAAGGCAACATATTTTATATCTTTTAATTAAATTGTTTGCACAAACTTTTAATTACTACAAGACTACAAAGTATATAAAGGTATTTGGCAAACAAATCTGGAAGGTCAGTTTTGATTGTTGTAAGAGCTGCAAAGGTTATAGGTCATTTTCCCCCATATTTAATGGTAATACTTTGATGAAACTCTTGAAAATCAACCACAGAATGATGTCTATACGTAAGTACTTAATGACAAGAGGTACAACATAAGTGGGATATCATTTTTAAGCAAAAAAAAACAATACTTGCTTTAAAAAAAAAAAGGCCATCAATTTTCAAAATCAGGAGAATGTAAGGCAAATGTTCCTTGACAAAAATATATTGTGAATCTGATAGTAACTATTTGGTCAACTTCATTATTTTTACAACTTTTTTTAACAAAATATCTTAATATCTTTTAGTTTCAATCATTAATTGATAAGTCTGATACACATTTATAAAGTCTTGATTATAATTTTTGTTCTTAAACCAAAAAAATTTAATGCAAAACTGCTATATTTTAATTTATGAATATAGAGATTGTATCATATTTACAAGATATAGATCTATTAAGAATGGTTTTATAACAAAAAATGTACTGGTTTAATATTTACAAAAAAATTTTTTTTTTAAATTCTTTATATTTCTAGAGATGCCATTTATAGATTTTATAAATTATCTGTTTAAAAGTGGGGGCTTTTGAGTCAAATTTTTATCCTCACATAATAAATCTCAATTTTTTTTATCAAAAAAATAACAAATCTCTATAATAATCTACTAAAATGGCAATAAAAACTGTAATAAATTGTATTAAAAGCAATATTTCTAACAAACAAGCAGAAAGATCAATCTAAACAAAACAAAAAAGTTGCCATTATGTAAAAGAACATCTGAGGACTCAATTTAAATTATCAATAAAAAGTACTATATGAATAAAAAATACTGCGTTGAACTCAAGACAGAAATTTCCAACATTCATTAACAGATCTGGATCATAGAAGTAAAGAGATAAATTGTCTTCTGAAGTTAAAAATGGTTTTCTTAATTTAAATAGAAAAAAAATTTTAATAACTAAACTGCTGGTGCTAACTCATGCACAATCTGAAGTTAATTGAGTTTTATCTGACAACAAGATTGAGGCAGAGGAAAAAGTCTTTTAAATCAGAGGTTTCTCATTTTGCTGTATTTATTTTCTGATGAAAATAAACCTTTAAAAATTAGAAATGGAACCTTTAAAATGTGGAATAGATCTAATAGCAGAAAAGATCAATTAGATTGCTTAAGAAACTATTTTTTGTCCGCAGCAGTCAGAAATGTGGTTCAGTGGTAATCATTATTGCAACAGCTTTGTTTTTCACATTATTTTTAAAAACTTTAAGTTAAAAAAAATTTCTTGAAATAAATTAAAAAAACAACGATTTTTTACTTTAAACTACATTAATAGTTATACAAATTACACTGAGTGATATACTTACATTTATACAAATGAACAAATCGTCACAAATAATATGTATACATTTTTATAAAAAAAAAAAGTAAAAGCTTTTCTAAACTTAATCATTTAAACATACTATGAATATTGTGTACAGGTAAAAAGACCTCAGAATGCAGTGAGACCTCAGAATGTAAGGTTGGAAATAAACCAACATAAAACTCTATTTTTTTAAATTCTGAAAGCATTAAATAATCGGAATAAAGAATAAAATGTTAAGTCATAAGTAAATAAATACTACATGTAATACTTAAAAGATAGCCTAAATTATAAAGACGTTGAAAAAAGTCTACAAGCTATTAACACTTTTTTTAAAGATAATTTTGAAAATTTCAAGCCCTTCTAAAAATAAGTTTGCAGAACCTTATCAGAAATGTTGCCTTAACACTCTAAAAACAGTGCTAAAAAGATATGTGCACAGAATAAATTCAATTTTCTCAAAATCGCCTTTCAAAATACCTAGCATTATGAGGTGCTGCACCTAATGTTTTGAGGTACAAAATCAAAAACTATATAACAAACTTCAGTGATTACTTTTGATAATTTTTTTTTTAAATAACATTGTCTTAAAAAAAAATTATGAACAAAAAATATAAAAATAAGATCCTGATAAACTTTATAAATCAGCGAATAGAGAATGCTAGAGGTTGTATTCTGGATAAAATCAGTTACAAAAATAAAGTCTTCAACGTTATCTTCATCAGATTCAAACTGAAGGCATTTTTTGGTTCTTATTTCACAAAATGGTTTGATCATATTCCTTTTTTATTACATGTAGATTTCAAAATATTATGGCAACACAAGCATTCTCGAATCTTAGTTGCTGCACAAACCTTCTTTGCACATGTACATTCTTCCTTACACTTATAGAATGCCTCAATTTGTTGTTGTTGCTTGAATTTCCTTTCTTTATTAGCTTTCTCCTTTTTGGTTTTGTCTTCCTTGATTGAAGAAACCAATATTTTTTCCCTTCCATTGAGTTGTGAACCTGGTAACTCTAAAAACTTCATTGTTTATTTTAGGTGTTACTTTGGTTACAGGCCACAAGTTAAATATTTCTTCCAGTGATATTGATTTATCAGATATCGTTTGATAAGCTTCCATGGTACTTTCGTATTTGTGTTTCCAATATCTTGCTGAGTCATAGCGAACATCTTTTGGAGAAGAAATTACTACTGCTATTGATAATTGATTATTTTCAGTATTTTCATTAATACACAGCTCAGCTCGTAAAAACTTATCTTCCTGCATCCACTTAACACTGAGTCCTCCATTTGAAATGTCAACTTTTTTTACCTGCATTTATGACTGTTTGTTTTGATGCCCACTATGATCATAACTCTGCAAGTATATTCATGAAACCTTCTCTGTTGATTGTCATAAATGAAGAATAAAGTACAGATTTAGCACTTCTGTACTCAGAGTGCAATTTCTGATTGATTTGATCAAGGAGCTGGGTAACGCCAGTTGTGTCAGGTGGAGTGATAAAAAATCTAATATTTTTACTTCTTAAAAATGCCAATACATCACTGTCAAATTTTAAAAAGTGATTATCAGATAGGACAACAACAGGCCACTTTTTATTATTTTTTTCTAAAAATTGGTCAAGCAATTGATATGCACTTAGAAATGAACTGTGATCCTGACTTCCACTGTCATTTGCGGAGATTAGAAGGTTTGGAATTTGTATAACAGTTTCTTTTAAAGCAATGTGGGCACTAATTCTTTTTCTCTCGAATATGACGTCGAACATTGCCATATCTCCTCCAAAGGAAACAAAAGGATGTATAGTTATGCATTCTCTATTTTCTCTAATCATCTTTTGACAACTTTCCCTTCTCCCAGCATACACTAAACCATTTGCAGTACAATCAACTCCATAGTTTATAAACTGGGGGGTTTTATCATGATTAAAAATTCTAGTGGTATCTATATCTCCATGCCATACACCTGTTTCTAATTGATTTGCATCAATGAAAATAATACATTCTATAAGTTCTTGCGCTAATTCGTTGAGGTGGTTACATTTCTTTTGTGCAGTATGGCACAATTTATGGATACAGTTCCTTGTCTCTTTTTGGTAATGAACTTTTGATACTTTGCATCCCAATGGTTCCAAAAAGACTTGCTAAGCTTCTTTGTTTGGAGAGCTCGTTGAGTACTCCAAACAAAGTTTTATAGAAAGTATTATAGAAAGTGCATAATAAAAAATATATTGGTGATAGTTTAGTAATCTGACAACCTCAGAAGTTTCTACAGGCTTGCTTTCTTACTCCCAAAACATTCAACATTATCCTTGTCAACTCCGACTTGTTTAAACCTTGCACCTAAATAAATTATTGAAATAACAATACAAGAAAACTAAACAGTATAAGTTTAGTTTTTTAATTAACAAAATAAAAACCAGGATTTTAATACAGATTATAACAGTTTATTAATAAAATGTTTCATTTCTCAATTATGTGAACATATTACCTTTTCTTGTTTCTTATATAACAGACTAACGATTCTTCTTCATATTATGTAAAAATTGAGCAATATTCCTTCTCATTTCCAGTTACAATGACACCATCAATCTGTTTGTTAATTGTTCTAAGATCTTTAATTGGTGGAAATCCTCTTGAATTAATTACACCCCAACCACGTTTATTGTTTATTCGGCACCACTCAATTGCTTTCTTTAACTGCTTACTTTTCATCACTATGACATCTCTTAGAACATTGCATCTTGTTTTGCTTGTTGGTTTAACTCTAAAAGACTTTCTCATTTCTTATTTATTCTCTACTACAATATCAAAACTTTTGTACTTGTACTCTGCTTTAGTAAATGTACTTTAGTTTAATTTTTTTTATTTATTTATTTAGTTAAATTTATTGCATTGAATGCAAATAACTTTTTTTTTATATTAATTAATTTTTATTTACCTAGCATTTTAAGATTTTTATTTACCTAGCATTTTAACCTAGAATTGTGTAGTGGAATGCAAAATGTATAAAAGATAAGTGAACCAAACATTTAAAAATATATTTAGCAATGAAAATAAACAATTTATGGAGAAATTCATGATTAACTAAGCAATACTACCTATTATTTAACCTGACTATATTGTGCACAAAAGATAATAAAAAAGTAAAAAACATTTTTAAGAGAAAAAAAGTGAAATGACAACTATATAAATTACCTCTTTTAATTTTAAGAGATCTTGTAAGGTAGTATCAGATATTATGTTTGAAGTTTTTGTTTGTTCAATCAAGTCCCTATTGAGAATACCAGTAAGACAGGCAAACACATCTTCCTCATCCATAAAGTGTAGCATGACTGCTCCTAACTGCTCAAGCATAGGACAATAAATAATGTCTGGATTTAACTCGTTTATAACTAAGAGAACTTTTTGCAGTATGAAACAGCCCATTGGAGTTAAGTAGTGAGAATTAGATGTCAATTTCATAGATTTACACTGTCCATTATCTATATATATAAAAAATATATATGGTTAAAATCTAGAAAATATTTGAATTTAAATAAAAAATCTTAAATAATAAGATTAAATATAAGGTTGTTTTAGTTTTCAGGTTAAATGCTTAGAAACAAATACACAGTGGCTCTCCATGTTTAATACCAACAATGTAATTACAATGTTTAATATCATTTTATTATTTAGTTTGCGGCCTACCACAAATGCAGAATAAAATCTGATCATTGACCATTGGATACGTACAGCTTTGCACTAAATAAAACCACAGAGAAGAATTAAGACTGATTTAGAATCTACAAGAAAGTAAAACAAACATGTCTGTCAGAATTCAAAATAAATCATTTTGATCAGCAATGGATATAAGTATTTAAACATAAGAATTACATTTATCAGACATAAGGTATAAAGCTGAAGATTATAAAAAAGAAAAAAAAAAAAACAGGATCAGATTCCCATTCAACAATTAGTTTATAAAAAATGGTAAATAAGGAAATCTGATGAATGAGACAAATATAGATAAAATCAAGGAGAAGAATAAGACAACAGTTTTGTATGATTAAAGAATCACCTGACTCACTTTAAAAAAAAAGAGAAACAAAAGTCAGAACCAAGACACAATGCAAAAAGTAGACGATTAGGATTGTCTAAAAAAAGTTGAATTATTTGTGTCAGTTTGCAAAAAATAAAAGATTTTGTGTAATGGTGCCGGTAAGATCACATGTACTAAAGCTAAGTAATTCACTGTGAAGAGCATAAAAAAATGATAAAAAATAAACAATAAGAAAAAAGAGATTGAACAAATTCGAGCTACACTTTTATCCCAATTTATTTACAAGGATCTGGATTTGAATAAGGTATCAACAAATCCTCATGGCGGTTAACAAATAAGATGTAAATGAAGTATTTTTTCTTAGATTTTAATGATAAAAATTCTTAAAAACTAAAGCAGTTAGCAATAAAAAAATAATAATAAAGAGTGAGTATCCAGAGACCCAGTTAAAACAAATTGGTTTAAACAAAATAATAGGTCAGGTCTAGATCAACATCTGACCCATTAACAGCCCTAGTTCTAACAAATAACTTAATAAATAACAGAACAAAAACTGTGAAAACTTCATAGTGTTCCATGTTCTAATGTTCTATTGCAAAGAAATGTACATGATACTTCTTTGCAACAAGTCACAATTAACAACCAATTTCAATAACTAACACCTTCGATTGTTAGCCTTCATAGAACAACAAACAACCTTACAGTATCCAAAAAAAATTGTATACTTTAAAAAATATATATTTATGTTTATGACCAAAACTTTTGTACTAAATACCTAAAATTTTAACAAAAATTGCATCAAAGTATACATTAAAATATCAATAAAAAAACATCATTAAGATTTTTAGAATATGCTGCTAAAATATTTGTAAAAATTCTAAAAAAAAGCAATGATTTTATAGTAAAAAAACTTTTTTACAAAAAATCATTGCTTTCTTTTATACGATAGAAATTTAGAAATAAAAAAAAAAGCTTTTTATAAAATTTAACAAAAAATAAATTATTGAGTGGGGCTTCCTTTGACCTTAATGGCCTCAGGTAGACAATTGATTTGAACAAATTTTGGGTCTCTTCTGTTATTCTATGCACTCATTATAGTTTCTTTTAAGGTTATTTGTATCAAAATATAGTTTTGTTTTCTTAGATGTATATTTTGGATTGTTACCCTGCTGGAATATGAAATCATTTCCTATTCCTAATTTTTTAGTAGATGGTGGCAAGTTGGATTTGAAAATTTCACATTCACTGAAGTATCCATTTTATTATTAATAGATAGAATTTAATAGGTTCGAAAAGTATTTTATTCACCAATTCACAAATAGATTTTTAAAACAATACTTAATACAATATTATATTAGATAATCATAAGCGAAATCAAGCATAAGTACACTGAAATCAAGCATAAGTACACTGCTGAATCTTTATCTGGCACTTGCAGGTATCACTCCTATAAATAACACAAAAATTAAAACTAAAGTTGTTTTTAAACAAATGAATTCATTTGTTTTTAATTTTCTCAACTGATGAGATTAGCAATGCAAACAAACTTTTAAAAAAAAACCTCAGTTTTTTTTTTTGTATATTAAATTAGCCTAATCAAGATTTTCCACAACTGCATCTGACTTTATAAATGCTTAAAACTTGGCTAAAACTTTGTAGTTTGATGCAAGAACTTTAAACATTCATATAAGATGTCTTTTAAACTGAGTTTGGCATGTTGTTTTTCTCTGTAAATTCACTTTATATGGCATATCTGAAATAGTTTTGAAAATTCTAATTGCAGTATTGAAGTTGTCTTTCATGGATAACACTCTTCTTTATTTCTAGTAACTTCTGGGATACCTAAAGATTCTATCTTTGGTTCCATGATGTTTCTCATTAATATTAACAATTTTTCTGATCTCACTTCTAAAACGACTCTATTTGCTGATAACACATTTATTCTGGTCTTGATAAAAAGAAATTACATTTTGATCACTTATAACAGACAATCAAATTTGATTGTGATCTCTCTTCTGTGACAGCTTGAAGACTACAGTATATACATACATATATATGTATATATGTATATATATATATATATATATATATATATATATATATATATATATATATATATATATATATATATATATATATATATATATATATATATATATATATATATATATATATATATACCAAGGCCAATATATATATATATATATAGGCCTTGGCGGGAGTAAATGTGTGCAAGAGCAGAGAAAAGCTCTCCTAAAAGGAACATGGGTGATGCAAGCTGCTCCTCTAAACAGCTTTTTACGAGTGCTTTTGACTTTTGCACAAGCTATCTGTTTATTCAAAATTGTTTATTAAATACAAAATTTGATTTTATAATTGTTACAAACATATGTTTGTAACGTTAACAGGCCTTGGCATGAAGAAAATTGTCTAGCGCAATGTTTCGCGTCCATAAAACTCAAATATTTTTTTAACATAATGACGAGCGCGCAAAATCACGCTCGTCATTAAGTTATCAGGATCGATCTTTTATTTTTGGATATGAGTGTTTCACAAAATTTTATTAAGTTTTAATTTGTTATACAGCGTTCTTTAGACGATAAATATTTTAAAATTATTATTTAGCAGCGCACTGCCTGACAAAACGTTAAAAATTCTTTCAACTTATTTATTTATTATTTGATCACATCTGATTGTGTTTTTTTTCCACCTAGTTCTTAATGATCTTGTTTTAAAGAATAAATTTATCTTTTATTTTCTTTGTTATTGTCTTCATCTTTAACTTAATGCTACAGTAAATTTTTTATTATTATTACATCAAATTTATTTGAAAGAAGTTCATAAGCTTTCATTTTTTTCATTGTTTCATTCGTTTAAATAAAATATAAATTCATAATGTTTTTGCATCATTAAAACATTAAAACAATGAAATAACCATTTCTTTTCATTAAAACATATTTGCTGTTTTTTCATTGCTAACACTAATAGAACTTTTATAACTTTTTTAGCAAACATTTACACAAACTTAAACTTTTCTTTTTCTCAAATAAAATTCTAATTTTAATTAATTTATAATTAATAAAAGTTATAATTTTAATAACAAAAGCTTGTTAAAGCAAACTATTCCGTTCAAAACACAACGTTTTTAGAATATACACATAACAAGCGTCATTTATTGCGCTTTGAAAAAATTTTTAAGGGTATGAGTTGTCTTTTGTTTATTTAAGTTACGCAAAACGTTTCTAGCAATTAAATCATTCCATTGGAATGGGAAGATTTAATTTAACTTATTCATTATTTAAAGTAACTTAAAAAAATAATCTTTTGAAAATTTTTTAGAAAGACATGGAAAAATAGTTTCAAACATTTAAATTTATCATAAAAAATACATGCCTATTTAAAAAAAATTTTAATATAAAACTTTATTTACACAAATTGTGTTTAATTTTAAACTATCATTACAATTAATTTTTTATTTTGTTTAAAGCCTTTGTGTAAAAAAAGATCAACAATTAAAGAAAAAAATTATCACAAGATAATAAATTTTTTCTTACATTTAAATTGTTAAAACATCAAAAGATGCAGTCAAATTGTAAAGAAAAAAAATTATAAGGGTGTTCAGTTAAGGTTTGTGAATGCACGCTATTCCTCCCTGAGCCTGCTTAGGGATAGTCTATAAATTACATATTGCAAAATTTCACAATAAACAAAAAAAAAAGTTTTGCCTCACAGAATCTTAACCTAAATAAAAAATTAAAATAGTTCATTAAGTTTAATGAAAATCGCCATGCAAAAGAGCTTAATATCTCCTACTTATATTTTTAAAATATATTTTGCATTCCATAAGTTATAGACAATCCCTTAGCCCGTTAATTTATTTTTGAAAAATTCTTAATTGAATGAAATGCCTTTGATGTAGAGATTTTATTGATTGCGTAAAGACTTAATATAAGAATCTCTAACTTAGATGGCATTTGTTGTTGTTTTTTTTGTTTATTTGTTTTTTGCTTCTACAGCAGTACCTACTGAAGTAACAGGACGGGCTTATTAATTTTTTTCTTTATTAAGTTTCAGAACATAATTTTTTTTCAGATAATCCGCAGGTTATCAGGATATCAGGACTAATTATCTGAACACATTAATAACATGACTATGTTGACATATACGCAATAAATTTCTACGGGTGTTTGATGCTTTGAGAAATTTTAAGCTTTTTTAAAAATTCTCTTCCTTTTGTTTGTTACAGTGTATAATATCTTTACTTTGTTATGTATATAGTATCTGTAAAACTTCAAAAGTGTTTTATTTTGTATTTTTGAAAAATCAAAAAAAATCTAAAAAAAGTGTTTCAGTGGTAAGGTTTGAACCTACTACTGGAAGTAGCATTTTGCTTCAGAATCTCTGCAAGCTATCCACTCCGCCACACAGTCGTGTTGTCAGAAG